GGGAAGCGAGGAGTTTGCTAAGGCTTTTGAGGTGTTCAAGAGAAAGAGGATGGAAGAGATCAAGAGAAGCTGAAGAAATTGGAAGTCAAGGAAAGGGGTGAGATGTAGAAATTGACGAGGCGGAAAGTCTTGAGGAGGAGATGTAGGGAGACTGGGTGTATGGATTCTGATTAGGGTCTTTGAGTTCGGAGTTGCTTGAAGGTGGTTGATGTGGAGTCTTTATTGTCTTGATTGTTTTATGTTTTTAGGCAATTCTGGGTGTAAGTTTGTTAGCGTCTGTTTTCCTCTGGTGATTTCTTGTCACCTTTCTCATGTAATCTCTTTTTCTTTAATAATTTTTTCTTTTATCCTTCAAAAAAAAATATTCACATGGATACACAGATCAGCCAATGGCATAGCTGCTTCCCTTGCAAGACAAGGACCAAGGGATCAACAGAGATCAAATGTTTTGGGGAACCATCTAAGTGATGTAATGCTAACATGGGGCTGCAATGTATTGATTGTGAGTAAATTTGGGACACATTCTATTTTAACAAAGTAATAAATCAGTTTCTAAGTTATTGACAAAAAGAAAAAAAAAATGCATGGTTTTGAGATCCCAAGGAACTCATCAAGTAAAAAATGTTGGAATGTTTCAGTGGATTTCCTCAGCGAAAGAAAACAAAAGTTTGCAATCTTGTTTTCCCAATATTATCAGATTCAGACAGAATAGAAAACCGGAATGCTTGCTGCAATACACATTTGATGGTTTAACTATTAATTAAATTCCCGATCATCCAGCCTGCAAAACACATCACAAAAAAAAAGACCCAAATTGCTGGCTGAATCACCAGTTTACCAGTTCAACCACCAGGTCCAATTTGAATCTGGCAACACAAGATTTTTTTTTCATCGGTAACAAGATTAAAAACCTTCTATTAAAAACATAAAAGATTTTAATTCTGCACTATAAGTCAAAAAATAAAGACAGACAATTAAAAAAAGGTGATTCTCAATCTAATCAGAACATGTAGTAGTAAAAAAGGAAAAAGAGGAGATTTTTTCATGGTAATGAATTAAATATTTTCAGTAATTGATATACCTATTTAAGTCTTCTTAATCTTCTCTTATTTCATATAGACAGTTATCTGCTATGGTTTCTTGAGTCTTAAAATGTGCAATTGTACTTCGTATACTCCTCAAATTTCAATAAAAAATTTCATGCTTTAAGTAAATCATCTCTTATTTCTTTAGATTTTCCAAATATCTCAGAAAATTTAGTGAAAATATCCCCAAAATTTCCCTATTTCGGCATGGCAATACATCCATTGATATTAAAATTATGAATCATGATCCTAACTGAAAATTACAGTGATAGGACATGGATCTTTTTGGTCCCCTACTAGAATATACCAGATTTAAATGCTAAAAGTGTGGTGAATCAGGTGCTTGTAGCCCAAACAATTCTTGACTTTAGGCAAGAAGGTGATACAATGTTTTCAGAATGCAGACTATAATAAGAGAAAGAATGACTACCACACATAATATGACCTTAATGGGACAACAAAACTATATGCAGAATTGAAGATAGTGACTACCATCCTAAAATTCGTAACTTACAAAATAGAAATCCAAATTATCAATGACATATTAGAGAGTTCTTTAGCAAAAAAAAATGTAAGAATGATTAATGAAATAACCTACCTTCAGAACATCATCAATTTTTGCACCAGGAACAAGACATGCTGCTCTTAACTTCTTTTCCATGCCTTGTATAGCATCTGAACATCTTAGGTCTGCCTCCATAAAAGCATTCCTCTTGTAGTCCTGCATCAATTACCAGTCCAGATAAATAACACCACAGGCTCAACATATTCTAAGAACCACACACACGAGTAAAAGTGGATATTTAACTTAAGGAAAATAAACCAGGGTAAGAAATTTGTATCATATATTTCCAGAGAAGCTAAAACATTTGGTTTACCATTACCCCTACTTGTAGCTTTTGAGTGAATAAAAAAAAAGAAAATTGGCTAACCATCTATAGTTTGCATGAGACATGATTCCCTCAAAGGGAACGATACCACTAGTGGATATTGATAAACAAAAGAACATAAACAGAAAATGCAACTTCTATATTTTTATGGTGCTTGTGGAAAACAAACATAAACAAGATGATAAAAAACAATCATAAGAAGAGGAATATAATCCAGAAAGCTATATTCTACGATTCATAATTCAAACATTTATAAATCACAGTAGAACATGAAACACACTCCTCAGCCCTCTCTAGTCCCTCCCATCTCTCCCTCTAACTTTTTCTTATTAGCTCAGACCACAGAGTCATCTCCACCCATCACATCATTCCCCTCTGTGAGCTCTGGAAAGCCCGCGGCTGGTTCCAACAAAGGAGTCATCACCCAATTATTTCAAGAGGAAATGGATCCCCTATAAGCTTTGAAAATTGATCTTGTTTGTCTCTCCTTTTTTTTATTTAGTGACTCCATTGCTCCACTCATACAGCAATGCACCAAGAGACCAATGGATTCAATTGGATTGGGAAAGGGAAGGTATTTGGCACCCCTCTCTCCAAGCTGCAAATGGCAGCCCGATATTAGCTTTGTCTAGGATCAAGAACTTCATGAATTTAAATCCAAAAATGATGAAATTCCAAAATCTTGTGAAAAAATTCCTTCTAATATCTCTTAATCTCAGATTTCCAACAGGATCAATCAGGATGCCACAGATCTTCTTCAATACACAATAATGGAAGAAAGTTCCAAGAAATATGTAAATCCATGTAAGATACTGTTGCCTCCCATTATTGTGCAAACAGCTCAAATATGTCTTGAGTGGGCTTTTGGCTTCTTTTTTTTTGTATCAAAGCCCCACTTCTGCTATATCCTTTCTTGTTTCTTCTCTGCTTATAAATATAATAGTTACCTTTTCCCAAAAATAGTTGTCAAACCAAACCCAGTCTAAAAACTGGGAACAATTTTCTTTGTTAACTCGGACTACCTTTTTCGATCTGTAATGATATCAAAGAATTTATTAAAATCAGCAGTAAAGAAAGCAAACAAGATATAAATAAACAAAGTATAAACCCAAGATTGTCTATAACCTTAGTTTCTTGGTTTTATTTGATGCTTTCAAATAAGATGATAATCCGAAAGGATATATTTATGTTTCTTTATCAAGTCATAAAATATCATTTGTATTTCCATTTTCCACATATTTCACAATGTCTCTGCTATATCTATAACTTTTACATTAACATTTCTGACATGTTTACTGTGTTTGGATGACTGGAATTTCAAACGACACCTACATTTTAAACCTTGTATATGAAAAACTAGAACCCATATGTAAAACAGTTGTATGATTAGGTTTCATGTATGGAACTTAAATTTATTATTGGTTAAGCTTTGGAGACTCCAGTATATAATACCACCAAGTGCTGAACAGTAAAGGTGACTAGATTGTACAAAATACAAAACAATTCAAACTCCATCAGTAAAGTTTCTATAAACCTCATTAGTATGAATTGTCTGTAGGAAAGAATATAGATAGCCGCACTTAAAAATTATACAGTTATCTATGTCACCATCCTAGGAAAAAAAATATAATCATTACCTCAAATGCCTTTTTGAAGAAGTTCTGAAGAAGCTTTTCATACTTCTGTCTTGCTGTACCAGCCCCCACAGCACTAGCATTAAATGCAGAAACCGCTTTTTGAACTGCCACCTCATGTGCTTCTCTTAGAGCAACCTACAATAACAAAAATAGAAAATTAGAAAATAGAAAAAATAACCAAGTTGTTCACATGTTGCACTAACCTCTTCAGGAGGCTTTGAGCAGTCAAAAGCAGACATGTAAACTTCAGTTGCAGAATCGTAAGCCCTTCGACATTCTGCTTCTTCAACACTCTGCAAAGAAGAGTGGTTCAAACACCTTGTTCATAATTAGGTTTCCTCATAATGACATGCTCACACTACTTAAATAAATGCACTCAATCTTCCTCATCATTCACCTGCCATGAGGAAGATATTGTAGGCACTGCACCGTTATTAAGAGCATCCAGAAAAGATTGAGTGATGCCAGCAAGAATGGGACCTGTCATTACTGTAGCACCCACTTGCTTGGGCCTGGTTCTCTCGAACACAAACCTGGTCAATGCATCCAAGCCAGATCTAAATTCTGGTCGTAATTTGTCCAACTGTATAAAATGAAACAATACCTTAGTTTACCTATGAGGTACCATTCCAATCTCATTTACAAAGGACAAGAACATACATACAAGGAGTAAGGTAACTCACAGAGATCTGGTCAAGTCGTTGGAGATCATTTTCATTGTTCAAAGGTCGAACAAGGGTGAAACATTCACGTTCTGGAAAAAGAGCACGAATGGACTCCCGGATCTATTGAACATTACTTTATAGAATCAGAAATTCCATTTGAACATAAACAACAAAAAGAATTGAAGAAAAAAACGACATACTTAAATTCTAAAAGCACACTTTTTACCATATAACATGCAAATCTGAGAATTTAATGGATATCCAAGAAGCCCAATATAAGGCTCTTTCTCTTAGGTGGAACAGTAACAAAAATAAAAATAAGTAGTGGACTACATGCATTTGGAATGTTGGGAAGAATGTACCATTGCTTATAAAAGCTCATGCAAATTTTCAACATAGGAAATAAGATCAGAGATCATGGTACCTCATTCTTGGCAGCTACATCTTTTCTGCCCCCTTGCATTGGCCTCAAGGCTAGTTCTAGATAATCACGTGGTGTTATTTTCCTATTATCCTCTACTAAATCCAAATAAAAATCCTGACAAGTTACAAATTAAATATTATCAGGCAATGCTCTGAGCATATAGTTATTTATTTAACCAAAAGTTAATTTGCAGTATTGAGCATGTCATGTCTCATCAAAATATTTCCAAGGCATAATGAAAATCACCCTCAGAAGCCAAACAAAAATCGGTGAAAACTGCCCAAGCTCAGAAGCTGTACTCCTTCCTCCAGAAGCTCTAACACGAATATGTTTAGTCATTTCAGTAACAAGAGAAAGACGATCAAGGGCAGCTTCATCAATACCACCCATCTGAAGTAAGGAAAATAAATTAGACAGATAACCAAATAATCAAGTAAATATCAGAAAACTCCGAAACTCCTTGTGAGGCTAAAAAAATGCATCAAACATAAAGGATTAACTTTCAAAAACACTCCATTTGCACAATAAGCTACAACCTGATTGTAGATAAACATGCTAGATAAAAGAACAGCCAAGGAGAATATCTGAGTGCTGTATGTTCCCTGTTGAAGAATGGAGAACACAGGAAAAAAAATTAGATAACATAATTACAAGAGTGTAATAACAAAAATAAAATGATCAATGTATTGCAAATTTAATAACAGATTGGTATTATGATTTTTAATGGACACAATTCTGCTGTTACAATGACATAGTTGAATAAATTCATGCAAGAAAGGAATCCAATCAAGAGTAAGTTGCATGATGACCGGACACTACAGCAGTTATTTGAGCAATAAGTAAGTTATTGACACTCAGATCTTAGTTTTTATATTTTTCTCAAGAAGGCTAAAATTGATTTCAATTCATCTCATAATCAGTTGCAGGATATGATTTCTAAAATGAAGAACAAAGAAGAAATTGAAAACCAACAAGAACAAAAAATAGAGTTGTTTCAACTACATTACAGAAACAATTACCGTTGCAGAAGAATAACTAAAGTTGAATGACAATCAAAGTAGCATCAAACTTTCTAATGGAATAATAAACTCAACTTTTTCTACAAAAGAAAGAACTTCAGATTACTGATAAAAAAAGAACTCCAGATCCTAGAAAGAAGAAACAAAAGAACATGTAACAAAAAGGTCATCAGTGGAGTCTTCATTAACCTTGCAAAGTATGCACATGAGGTAACAATAGCAATTAGGACTTCAACGTAGAAGCAGATCAAGAGTTTATTTTAAATGTTAACGTGGAAAACCTCTCAACAGAAAGCCCGAATCTTTGGTCAATTGAACCCAAGTCTTTGCAAGAAATTGAGTACGGTACAGGAAAACAATAAAGTGTAACTGTAGAGTCTCACCACCAAAGTTTTCCAGCTCCTCCCCCACCCCCACCCAAAAATTAAACAAAAAAAAAAAGAATTTATTTCTACTAGCACATTTATATCTGATAAATTAGGCAAAACCAAAATATGGATTTCCAAGGGCATACCAATGTAGCCCTCTTAGCAAGTCATGCATCATAAATCCTAACCATTAGAGATGGAGCCATAAATGCTTCAGATGACAGAATGCCAGTCTCACATTCAAAGAAGAACCTTAGTAGCAGCATAACAAAAGAAAAGTGTTCGCATATTTGAGTCTACTCAAATACAGTCCCCCTTTCATTTCACCAAACACTGATTCATCACAGTTCAGGAGTATGTGGCCCCACCGATGTTACATAAGTGGACGAAGTGTTAGTGTCAAACATACATCAGATCCAACAGTCCATGGTTCTTGATGGACACTTCAATATAACATTTCCCTTTATCTACTTGCTTATTTGACATAAATGAATGACTAATACATACGGTGAATGCCATTCTTTCTAGAAACCATTTTTTGACAAAATTAACAGAAATTGAAAGTTTGAAACCACTATCAAGTAACAAAGATAAGGTTCTTGGGCTTTTTTATAATATATAATGCTAGAATTTGAACTATGGACTATTTTAGTATAGGCATCTCCCTGCAAGTCCTTGCTTTTCCTTCTTGCCATCTAGCTGCATCAGACTCCCAGACACACGTTGAGTCCTGAATCCCATATCTGTGTCCATGCATCACAGAGCCCCACCATGGAGGGTTTGGAGACTGATTGTTGAAACCTTAAAAGAGAGTTCAATTGAATGACTATACATCTTATGTCTTGTCCTAAAAATACAAGCCATGAACAATTGAATTATCAAGTAAAATTGGTTAACCCAACTAAATTTTAACCTTAATGAGTTACTGCAGTTTATTAGGCAGTAGGAACTTTAACTAACCAGACAAAAGTTGCACCTAAGTAATCACTTGGAAAATTCAAGGCAGCAGGAGATGAGGAGAATGCACATATCTCAAGGTTGAACCAATTGCAATTCAAGGATTAAAACTAGCCTCTTCGTTGAGATTAATAGGGTTGATGCTGGAATTAGAACTGTCAAGTGGTGATCGGATGGCTTTGTTTTTTTTATAAGTAAAAGATCATTAAAATTCATTGAAATCAATAATGAAAAGCACTATTACAAGCATCCCAAAGGGAGGCATGAGAAGCAGCCTTGCTATTAAATCAGAGCTAGCACAGTAATTACAATTGCATCCAATACAACTGATCCCTAACTACCCCTTGCTTAGCTAATGAATCAGCCAAAGCATTAGCCTCCTCTACGCCATAATCTAGCTACTCTCTCCATCACAGTATGGATGACGTGGTGATTGGGTGGCTTTCTCAAGTACAAATGCACCCATATTCAAAATATGGAAACCAATATTGGAGAGAGTTAACAGGAAGTTAGCTTCATGAAAAACTACATTATTTATTTTAGGGAAGGGGGGAGGGGAATTAAGGCCCCATTTGGTTCCCGGGAATAGGGGTCTGGAATCGGAATCGGGCCATTCCGATTCCAACTGTTTGGTTGGGTGGAATCAGAACCCCATTCCCATTCCTGCTGGAATGGCATTCCCCTATTTGAGGGAATGGCCATTCCCTACCCCTCCCTTGGGAATGAAATCTCATTCCTGCTTATTCCAATTTTCATTCCCATTCCTGTCTGAACCAAACAGACTATGTGAATAGACCATTCCGATTCCAATTCCAACTACGAACCAAACAGACCCTAACATTAATTAGAAATGTGTTAACTAGCCTTCCAACTTACTATCTGTCTCTATTCACTATCTCTGTGAGGGTGACAGAGAAGATAGAAAAATTTATGAGGGATTTTCGCTGGTTGGGGTGGAAAGACTCAAAGAAAAATCATCTTGTTGTTTGGGATCAAATTTGCAAACCCATGGATCAAGGAGGTTTGGACCTAAGAAGAGTGAAAAGTTTCAACATAGTTCTCTTGGGAAGTTGGTTTTGGCAGTTCTTCACCAAACCAAATGATTTGTGGAGGAGGTGATAGCAGAGAAATATGGGTTTCATGCAAATGGGTGGGGTGCAGAAGACTCCCAGTTATCCTACAGTTGTGGTGTGTGGAGGGATATAAACGAGGCCTTCCTAAATTTTACCAAAGGAATTAGGTACCAATTGGAATATGGCAGAAGAACAAGGTTCTGGAAAGACCTATGGTGTGAAAATAGGGTGCTGAGTGATTGTTTTCCAGAGCCATATAGAATAGCCACTAACTGAGAAGCCCTAGTAGCAGATTCATATTCAGTTGCAGGAACATCGCCAGCTTGGACTCCTTCAAAAGGAATTTCAATGACTGGGAGATGCAGCAACCAGCAAGTAGCAAATTTGATAGATCTACTCCAAAGCAAATTAACAGGGAAGAACAGGACTCATGAAGATGGAAGTGGACTAAATCAGGCTGTGAGTGGTATGGTAAGGCTAAGTGTGGTGGTCTCCTTGAAGGACGAAGAAAGGCTGGAAGCAAGGGTAGGCTCAAGGGTTTCTATTGATAGAGTTCTATGTTCATTATGATTCATGCCTCCTTTTATAGGGAGAGACCTCGAGGTCCTAAAAGGAAGGAGCCAAAAGAGTTTGATTCCCATTTGGAAAGGGAATCTTTAATTCGGTGTCAGTCATCAGGGGGACACTGCTAGGGGTTCACCATGTGTCTTATGAAATCTCTCCAGAACGAAGTTTCCTTTCGTCTAAGGATTCTCATAATACACGTGTGCTACTTCCTTTTGCAGGTCTCCCGGGCTGACATGGTGCAGATGATGTCAAGACTAGTCTGACGTGTCCAACTTAATCCTACTGTAAACGTTTTTGGCTAACTGTTATTCTTTCGTTCATCACCAACCTGCGATGGCTTTGAGGCTTTGAGCTCATTGCAAATCTGTGACGGCTTTGAGCTCATCACAAGTTCATGTCGAGTTGTGAACTCATCGCGGGTGTCTCTGTAGTATTGGTTTAGTACCTTCATTTCCATTGCAGTCATGGTAAACATGTACCTACACAGGCATGTTTTCAGTTAAGTCATTTGGTTTGATTGGTGAACCAGATCAGTATTTTACTACCAAGGCCATTTGGGATACAACATTTCCTTCAAAGGTCAAATTTTTTTTTTTTTGATGAATAAAGGTCAAATTTTTTGTCACATGGGAGAAGTGTTTGACCAAGGAGATGCTTGTAAGGAAGGGAGTAGGCTTACCTGATCTCTATGCACTATGTGCAATATGGAGACTGAACCTCCAAATCATCTATTTCTCTTTTATAAGTATACTCCAACAGAATTTGGCTCCATTTCTGTTAAAGTAATTCCATTGTACTGGTGTTGTCCAGCTTCAGTGAAGAGTCTCCTGGCAGGTTGGCAGGTCCAAGGTATGTCTTAAGAGAGGAAGAAAATGCTGGGCAATAGTGCCTCTAGCAGTTTTGCGGGCAATTTGGCAGGAGTGGAATGGTAGGATTTTTTAGCACAAGGCACACTATGTGGAGGTAGTAATTAATATTTTGTAGAACTGATCAAAAGCTGGATATCTAATCTAAAATATTTTAGAGGAGAAGAGGACTTTTCTTCATATTTTTTTGAGAATAGACTTTTTTGGGAGTCCATAGGATTTGTATAATGTACAGAAACTCTGTACAAAGGACCATGTATACTTTTTGATATTAATACAATACAAATGACAGTTTACCTTTTTCAAAAAAAAAAAAAAAAAACGAAGAAAAAAAACATATCATTTAGCCTGAACTGCTAGTTCAAATGAGTCCATATGACAGCAAACAGAATGGTAGAGAGTTCTAAAAAGGCAAGGAGTATCAAGGACAGTCTGATTTGAGAGCACCCAGTGCTTTAAAACTTAAGTAATAAGAAAAGCACAGAGACCTAGGGGTGAGCATTCGGTTTATTTGGTTAAAAACCAAACCAAATAAACCGAAATTTTAAAAACCAAAATAAAAAATGAAAACCAAACCGAAACCGAATTACAAGAAAACCAAAATAACCGAAATCAAAATTTTCGATTTGGTTTTCAGTTATTTTGGTCAAAACTGAATTTCATTATAACATATTATTATAGATTATATAATATATTAACATATAAATATATAGTATAGGGTAAAATACAAAAACCTCCCCTATAGTTTCACTTTAGCAAAAACCTCTCCGCTATTTAAAAAAAAAATTGACAAAAACCTCCCTTCCGTCAATGATCATGACGGAAAACGTTAAACCGATGATCAAATATTTCCGAATACCTATTTTACCATTTTGCATGTTTATATTAAAATACGCTTGTCGACATATTGTCGTCTTTCCCTTCCCATCGACCTCTTTACCGTCTTCTTGTAACAAAATCCCATGCCATGCACGGCTCCCTACTGGTTATAAATATACAAATTTCGCCCCCTTTTACATTCGATCACTCTCTCTCTCTTCTTTTTCTTCTTCTTCTGTGTCTCTTACAATACTCACCCACAGCCATGTATAAAGTGGCAAGCCCGTCAAAGTACTTAGTGATCACCAACGTCGGGACGAGACATCAAGCTCGCCAAGAAGGCATGGGTCCTTTAGGGCAATCTTGCATTGTCTTCGACATCTCTCCGATAAACTACACGTTCGAAGTACAGGCTATGAGCGCAAAAAAGCTCCCCTTCGTTCTCCCGACGGTGTCCACTATCGGCCCCCAAGCCGACGATGAAGCCGGCCTCCTCAAATATGCCAAGCTCATCACCCCACATGACAAGCTCTCTAGCCGCATTAAGGAGCTTGTTCAAGGGATCATCGAGGGTGAGACTCGAGTTCTGGCAGTGTCGATGACCATGGAGGACACCTTCAGAGGAACCAAGGAGTTCAAGCAAAAAGTTTTCGAGAAAGTTCAAGTGGAACTCAACCAGTTCAGCCTTCTGATCTACAACGCCAACGTTAAGCAGCTGGTCGACGTGCCTGGTCATGAGTACTTCTCGTACCTTGGCCAAAAGACCCAGATGGAGGCTGCCAACCAAGCTAAGATCGATGTGGTTGAGGCCAAGATGAAAGGTGAGATCGGAGCAAAGCTTCATGAAGGGCAAACACTGCAGAATGCAGCAAAGATCGACGCGGAAACAAGGATCATATCAACCCAAAGGCAAGGAGAAGGGAAGAAGGAAGAGATTAAGGTGAAGACAGATGTGAGGATATATGAGAATCAGAAGGAGGCCGATGTTGCAGAGGTGGTGGCCATCCGAGAGGCTGAATTGCAGAGAGAAGTTGAGAGGATGAACGCATTGACCCACACAGAGAAGCTCAGGGCCGAGCTACTAAGTAAGGCCAATGTGGAGTATGAAACCCGAGTATGGAACATTGCCGATCGATCTAGTCATGCTCTTTCTGTTTTTTTTTTCTAAATAAGTCCAACTGTTCTTGATGAAATTTCTACGATTTCTGAGGAATTAACCTCCAAAGTACATATTTGTTTGTAACGCAAGGTTCAAGAAGCAAATTGGGAGCTTTATAAGAAACAGAGGGCAGTAGAAGCAATACAGTATGAGGAGAAAGAGGCTGAGGCACAGAAAGCAATTGCAGAGGCATCTTTTTACGCTCGCCAACAAGTTGCAAACGCAGAACTGTACGCAAAGAAGAAAGAGGCCGAGGGAACAATGGTGCTTGCACAGGTGCAGGGTGTTTATCTGCAAACTCTGCTGGAAGCATTGGGAGGCAATTACAGTGCACTGAGAGACTATATGATGATCAATGGCGGAATAATCCAACAGCTTGCTAAGATGGAAATCGTCAAGGCGTATTTGGAAAGAGAGAGATTTGGAAAGATTTAGAAAGGGTAAAATAGGTATTTGGAAATATTTTATCATTGGTTTAACGTTTTCCGTCATGATCATTGACGAAAGGGAGATTTTTGTCAAATTTCATAAAAATGGTGGGGAGGTTTTTGCTAAAGTGAAATTATAGGGGGTTTTTATGATTGTCAAAAAGTTCAGGGGAGGTTTTTGTATTTTACCCTATAGTATATTATATATTACATGTTATATAATGAAATTTGGTTAATTTGGTTCGGTTAACCGAATCTCTAATTCTGAAAACCGAAACCAAAACTTTCAAAAACTGAATTAACTGAACCAAATTAACCAAAAACCGAAAAAACTGAAACTGAAATTTTCGGTTCTGTTTTTCGGTTTCGGTTTCGGTTTTTCGGTTTTAAGGAATCTCTAATTCCTTGTAGTGACTGAGGTACAAGGAGAAAGGTAAGTTGTGCATCCAGACAACGTAAGGCACAAATTTTTGAAAAATTCAAAAACTGAAAATATTAATAGAAAAAATGCCAAAACGTGAATTTTAAAAGAAATTAAATATTTTAAAAAGCTTATCAGCTCAAATCAGAATATATAAACTAAGATTCAAACAAATTCAAAGTGAAAGTGAAAGCAAACAGATGTAAATTGTACTTTAGTGCTTCAATAGTTCAACCACTCAACAATTTAAGCATGTGAAACTCCCAACATTTTTGTCTACCTCTTAGTTGCATTATTTCAAGTAACTAGTATGATGTTAGACATCTTGCATTCCTAATCCTATGTGGCTGCTTTCGTGATTTTGGTGATTTAGTCGCAGTTCATTCTATTTTAGGGTCGTAGATCAATGATCAATTGTATCACTTTTGCTTCTTTAGTGGAAATTTTGCTGCCCAAGATCCTATCTGCAATAACTAGGGCTTCAAGTATTCACATCCTCTTGTTGTAACCGTTTTTTATTTTAAGTAATTAATAAAGTTTTTATGTGTTGCTGATAAAAAGCAAACAAATAGAGTCAGAACTAACCGTTTGATCATAAGCATCAATTCCTTCACTGTCCAGAAGTAGGAGATTGTATTCGGTTCCATCGAGTGCAGTTCTCTTTAAAGGTGTGCTCCACATCCAAAGTCCTTTAGTGCATGGCCGATGGGTTGATGCAACTTGAAATCCAGTACTCCTGCCGAGAAGCTATACATATTTACACAGGAAACTCACTCAAGTCACATGAATATTCTATTTCTGAGATATAACAAAATCTTACAACACAGTAATAATTAAATACTCCAACAAAAAAGACAAACAATTTATCAGGTTGCTATAGTTCTTTCATATAGTCTATGACAAGCCATGCATAATTAATAAAACATAAAAAGATTAATGGCATTCACTCTATTTGCCGATCAAAGAAATAAGAACAACAATGCATACAAAGATACATGTGTGTGAATGTATATATGCAGAGAGAATGACAGGGCATGAAGAAAAGTCTAGGAATAAAGACAAGTAAATAATTGATTGCCTTGCCAATTGATATGGTCCCCTCATATTCCGATCAATATCTGCTTCAGATGGAGCCAACCAATAAACTTCTGTACTAATCACTTGAATTACTCAAACAATTGCATATGTGAGCCACTTTGAGGGGCTCAATCCTCCTAATAATAGAAAAGATGAACTGAGAATAGGGAAGGGGGTAAGAAAGAGAGGGAGAAGAGAATTAGAGGGAATCTCGATATTTTTCCTTAGTTCTTTTGTATCAGGATCTAGCTACTTATAGCCTCATTACAATCAAAGTGTCACACCAATTGCATGCCTTGGTTCTTGCATGGGTTTAGTTCAAGTGGTGTGGCTTCCTCATGTATACATACTTAATAAGAGGTCTTCTTATTCATCAAAAAAATAAGAGGTCTTCTTGCCTAGGTACACGTTGAAGCAACCTGAGAATGAGCTGGCTGTGTATAGGCCACACCTGGACTTGTGTTTTAGGATCTATCAATCCCTCCCTCCTTAGGAACAACCTTCTCTTCAAGGCTGATGTGATGACACTGTTGCTGCAGCTTAGTAAAATCTTCCCAGGTGGCATTATCAGGCAGCAGGTTCTTCCATGAGACCTGAGCTTGTTTGATGATTTTTCTTCCAACCTTGATTCATCATAATTCCAAGACTAGTCAGGACCCGTACGACACGCGGGCTTTATTGATCAGCAAAATTGAAGATGGAGCTCTATGACATTTCCAATTAAATGGTGTCCATCTAAATTCAATTCAAGTATTATTTTTTAGGGTTATGTCTAGTTTACCTGATCATAATCTAAGTTACGCTTTAGTGAGAGTTGCCAATTTCCTATTCTCTAGATAAAATTTGTATTCTTTTTTTTTGTATCTTAATGCTAATTTTTATTAATTTTTTTGAAAAATATTTGTTTATTAATTTTTATTGGTTTACTATTATTTTTGTATTATTTTTAGGTAAGTTTATAAAAACAATCCTCTTATAACAATTCTATAAACCATCTTTGTGTTTTGACCTAACAAAGACTTTCCCAGTAGCTTTGAGAAAAAAAAAGTGCAAATACCTCATTTCCCTTGTCTCTTCAGTAACAAAGACACTAAAGTTACCAAAATACCCTTATCGTTGTTAGTGCATTATCATAGATAACTTAAAGTTTCAACTTTACCCTCCACTAACTTATTTTGCTAGACGACTTTCAAAGAACAATTCTCCTTACTCTTCTTGGGCAAATGTAAAAAGGCTGAAGTGAAGTAAAATTAATGTATTACATCAACATTTTTTTTATTTGGAATGCCGAATGCTGACTAAAGGAAGGTATTTGCACCTTTTTTCAAAACAATAAAGGTTTTTGTTAGGTCAAAAAACTAGGGAGTTTCATAGGATTGTTAGAAAACCCAAGGTCCTTATTTTTAAATGGAATTTAAAATGATTTTAAAATGATTAAACTATGTTTAAAACTAATATTTATTATTAATTTTTGAAATTAGTAAAAATTGAATTTATTTAAGTATATTAAGTTTTTATTAAATTTAAATTCCTTATGAAATTTAATTAACTATATAAATTTTTATTTTTTAGTGGAATTTAAGTTTGTTTTAAATTAATAAAAGTTAATTATAAAACCAATAATTGTTAGATAATTTTGTATTATTTTATATTAATTCTAAATTGATATTCACTTTTAATTTATCTTATTCCTTTTATTAATTAAATTATTTTTATTATATTAATAAAATATTTTAATCAATAACAATAATTAATAATTATTTTTATTTTATTTAAGTAACTTACTAAATTATTTTTATTATGGTTAATTAATTTTTATTATTTTCAAATGGATTATAATTTTAAATGGAAGTAGGTTATTTAGTACAATAATATATCATTGAATATCTCAATTTCAATATAATTAATTTTACTAATAATTATAGTTTAGTGCAAATATATTTAATATATATTATAGTTAAATTGAAATTGATATATATAGCTAAAGTTAATGAATTTTATGCAATTTAATGGAGTAACGGAGATGAGAGAGAATTAGTGGCATGAGTTATTGAAAGAGAGAGTTAATGGCATAATTAATGAGAGATTATTAAAAGGTCAATGGGAAAGAAGAGAGAGAGAGAGAGAGAATGATGTTTTAATGAGGAGTGTTAAAAGTCTTAAAAGTAATTGGTCACTTGAGTTATTTTGTTCAATTTTAAAATTAGAAATTTCAAAAAAAAAAGATAGGTGCCTTTGAGAAGAAACCAGAAAAAAAAAAAAAAAAAAAGATAAGTGGCTTTGAGAATAAACCATAGAGCAGGAAAGTGCCAGCTTGGCACATTGCATTTTAATATATAGATATAGATGTTTTGGGGTTCTACAAGGAATTCCCCCTCATCTGAAAACTGGGGTAATAGAGCTGTAACTTTAGCAGGGCTTGCTACACATGGTTTCAGCATGGAGACATGAAACACCGGTTGTAAGAGACAAAGAAGATTTGCCATATGGTTGTAGCTTCAAGCATATTATGATCTCCTACAGCAAACTCCAGCTCCCTGTGCTTCTTGTCATAAAATAACTCTTCATTCATTGTTGTGCTCTCTGCAGGTGCAGCTTGAGACACTTGAGGATGTCATCTCAGGAATACAATTGTGCATCAACCTCGGGCCACAGATGAAGACCCTTTTCCATAAGGTAAAAGTGCAGGTGGCTCTTTGCCATTTAATACTGTAAATGGAGATATGCCAATAGAGATGTGATAGGATGTGTTGTACCAATATTCCACCCACGGTAGCCATTGTGTCCACTGTTTGGGCCTTTCCCCAATAAAACATTTTAAATGTGTCCAAGTAGAATACTTTTGCTGCTGACAAGCCATGCAATGATTAACATAATCCTGTACCATCTTCTTCATTCCCTTCCAAAAGTAATGAGATGCTAGGCGCTGCACATTTGCAAGTGTCTAGCACCCCTGAATGCCCACTAGAAGCTGAATCATGGAACAGATTCAAGAGTTCTTGGTGATTTGAAGATCTGTTGGAAATAACCAGTCTGCCTTTGTAGAACAAAGTAGAATCATATACTGCATACCCAGGTACTTGTGGCAGGTCCTGTAACTATTGATTTTGAATTTGGGCCAGCTCTAGGTCTAGATGTGCTTCACTCTTTAGCTGGTCTAGTAGTGGGAATTATGACATATATAAGCCCATCAATTGGAGTTCCTCAGCTATAGAGAGAGCATCGGCCATGGCATTGGAAGGCCTGGCCCTGTATTCGATCTGGAAATCATACCAAAGCAACTTGGAGGTCCATTTTTTCTGTTCAAGGATGATTATGTGCTGGTCAACGAGATGTTTTATGCTTCAGTGACAGTCCCCACAGTGAACCTTCTTCGACCTAGGAGATGTGCTCGCCATTTCTAAACAGCTAAGGTAATAGCCATTACCTCCTTCTAGTAGGTTAAATTGAGTTGGGCTTGTGGACTCAAGGCTTTGCTGAAATAGACCAGCAGTTGTCCTCGTTGCATGAGGATGGCTCCAAGGCCCTTACCAAAAGCATCAGTTACTACAGTGAACTCTTGGGAGAAGTTTGGAAGTATTAGAGCTGGTGGTGTTGTCATAGCCTGTTTGAGTGCATTGAAGGCCATTTCAGCCATGTCACTCCATTAGGAGGTGTTCTTCTAGAGTAATTGGGGGTGAGGAGTGCTGCCAAAACAACATATCCCTTAATGAACCGGTGATAATAACTATTTAGGCCAAGGAACCCCTAAGGCCTTTGAGTGAAGTAGGCTGGCCCCATTTGACCATGAAACCTACCTTCTTCAGCTTGGTCTGCAGTTCTGCACCTTGCCCCCAACAATGATATGCCCCAAGTAATGAATGTGCATCTAGTCAAAGGAACACTTAGTTGGCTTGGCGCAGAGCTGGTTTTTCTTTTCATCAGCAATTGGCGTAGAGTTGGTGTTGTCATAAAGCATTCAATGTGATGCCCAAATGTTCCATGTGATAGGGCCAACTTGGGTTGTAGACAAGTATGTTCTCAAAGAAGACCAAAACAAACCAACATGAGTAAGGCTTGAAAACATTGTTAATGAGGCAATGGAATGTTGCAAAGTGTTGGTTAATCCAAAAATCATGGTGGTCATTGAAGGTTCTAAAGGCAATCTTGTAAATGGCGTCCAGACTTCAGGTGCACACAAATCTGATGATACCCTAACCTGAAATCCAGCCTGGAAAGGAAGTTGGCTTGGCCCAACTCATCAATAAGTGGAATAGGAAACTGGTCATTTATGGAAATGTTGTTTAAAGCCCGATAATCAACAAAAAATCTCCATGACCCGTCTTTCTTTTTGACCAATAGAACTAGGGACAATACATTCTACTACTAGGTTGTATGTGCCCCTTTTCAAGTAAATACTGAACCATCTTCTCAATCTCTACCCATTGGTAGTGAGGGTAGTGGTAAGGCAGCACATAGTGGGCAAGACCCCAAGGCCCAAGCTGCACTGGAATTCTATGGTCCTAAATTAGTTCAAGTGGCAAAGTAGTGGGTTCCTTGAACACATCATTGTAATCTCGCAACAAGAGTTGAAATTGGGCTGCTTCCTCCAGTGAGATTGTGGTGTACTCTGTACTCATTTGGTATTATTTGCCCTAAATAGTAAAATTCATTGTCAACTTCAAGGTTTT